CTACCAAATTTTCATACTTGAAATCTTCATATAGAGTTACCTCCGAATGTTGTCTTAAAAATATGTTTCAACTGTAAAATAATTTTCCTTTGAAAAATGTGATTTCTAGGTCGGGAGCTACAGTAGAATGTTATAGAATCATGATAGGCAAAATATATTTCAATATATATTCAGAGATTCAATGAATCATGATTCTATAAATACATGATCAGGTCACATTTCCATGTTTCTCAAATATAATTTGGTTAAAACTGGTGGCTAAGTACCACTGCTCACTTGCCTACACTGTATTTTTCATGATAAGCTAACTTGCCCACATTGTATGTTTCATAATAAGCTCACTTGCCTACACTGTATATTTCATGATGAGATTACTTGCCAACACTGTATGTTTCATGATAAGCTAACTTGCCCACACTGCATGTTTCATGATAAGCTCACTTGCCTACACTGTATATTTCATGATGAGATCACTTGCCTACACTGTATGTTTCATGATAAGCTAACTTGCCTACACTGTATGTTTCATGATGAGATTACTTGCCAACACTGTATGTTTCATGATAAGCTAACTTGCCTACACTGTATGTTTCATGATAAGCTCACTTGCCTACACTGTATATTTCATGATGAGATCACTTGCCAACACTGTATATTTCATGATGAGATCACTTGCCTACACTGTATGTTTCATGATAAGCTAACTTGCCCACACTGCATGTTTCATGATAAGCTCACTTGCCTACACTGTATGTTTCATGATGAGATCACTTGCCTACACTGTATGTTTCATGATAAGCTAACTTGCCCACACTGCATGTTTCATGATAAGCTCACTTGCCTACACTGTATGTTTCATGATAAGCTCACTTGCCTACACTGTATATTTCATGATGAGATCACTTGCCTACACTGTATGTTTTATGATAAGCTAACTTGCCCACACTGTATGTTTCATGATAAGCTCACTTGCCTACACTGTATATTTTATGATGAGATCACTTGCCTACACTGTATGTTTCATGATAAGCTAACTTGCCCACACTGCATGTTTCATGATAAGCTCACTTGCCTACACTGTATGTTTCATGATAAGCTCACTTGCCTACACTGTATATTTCATGATGAGATCACTTGCCTACACTGTATGTTTCATGATAAGCTCACTTGCCTACACTGTATATTTCATGATGAGATCACTTGCCTACACTGTATGTTTTATGATAAGCTAACTTGCCCACACTGCATGTTTCATGATTAGCTCACTTGCCTACACTGTACATTTCATGATGAGATCACTTGCCAACACTGTATATTTCATGATGAGATCACTTGCCTACACTGTATGTTTCATGATAAGCTAACTTGCCCACACTGCATGTTTCATGATTAGCTCACTTGCCTACACTGTATATTTCATGATGAGATCACTTGCCTACACTGTATGTTTCATGATAAGCTCACTTGCCTACACTGTATATTTCATGATGAGATCACTTGCCTACACTGTATGTTTTATGATAAGCTAACTTGCCCACACTGCATGTTTCATGATTAGCTCACTTGCCTACACTGTATATTTCATGATGAGATCACTTGCCAACACTGTATATTTCATGATGAGATCACTTGCCTACACTGTATGTTTCATGATAAGCTAACTTGCCCACACTGCATGTTTCATGATTAGCTCACTTGCCTACACTGTATATTTCATGATGAGATCACTTGCCAACACTGTATATTTCATGATGAGATCACTTGCCTACACTGTATGTTTCATGATAAGCTAACTTGCCCACACTGCATGTTTCATGATAAGCTCACTTGCCTTCACTGTATGTTTCATGATGAGATCACTTGCCTACACTGTATGTTTCATGATAAGCTCACTTGCCCACACTGCATGTTTCATGATAAGCTCACTTGCCTACACTGTATGTTTCATGATGAGATCACTTGCCTACACTGTATGTTTCATGATAAGCTAACTTGCCCACACTGCATGTTTCATGATAAGCTCACTTGCCTACACTGTATGTTTCATGATAAGCTCACTTGCCTACACTGTATATTTCATGATGAGATCACTTGCCTACACTGTATGTTTTATGATAAGCTAACTTGCCCACACTGTATGTTTCATGATAAGCTCACTTGCCTACACTGTATATTTTATGATGAGATCACTTGCCTACACTGTATGTTTCATGATAAGCTAACTTGCCCACACTGCATGTTTCATGATAAGCTCACTTGCCTACACTGTATGTTTCATGATAAGCTCACTTGCCTACACTGTATATTTCATGATGAGATCACTTGCCTACACTGTATGTTTCATGATAAGCTCACTTGCCTACACTGTATATTTCATGATGAGATCACTTGCCTACACTGTATGTTTCATGATAAGCTCACTTGCCTACACTGTATATTTCATGATGAGATCACTTGCCAACACTGTATGTTTTATGATAAGCTCACTTGCCTACACTGTATATTTCATGATGAGATCACTTGCCTACACTGTATGTTTCATGATAAGCTAACTTGCCTACACTGTATATTTCATGATGAGATTACTTGCCAACACTGTATGGTTTATGATAAGCTAACTTGCCCACACTGCATGTTTCATGATAAGCTCACTTGCCTACACTGTATATTTCATGATGAGATCACTTGCCTACACTGTATGTTTCATGATAAGCTCACTTGCCTACACTGTATATTTCATGATGAGATCACTTGCATACACTGTATGTTTCATGATAAGCTCACTTGCCTACACTGTATATTTCATGATAAGCTAACTTGCCCACACTGCATGTTTCATGATAAGCTCACTTGCCTACACTGTATATTTCATGATGAGATCACTTGCCTACACTGTATGTTTCATGATACGCTCAATTGCCTACACTGTATATTTCATGATGAGATCACTTGCCTACACTGTATGTTTCATGATAAGCTCACTTGCCTACACTGTATATTTCATGATGAGATCACTTGCCTACACTGTATGTTTCATGATAAGCTCACTTGCCTACACTGTATATTTCATGATAAGCTTACTTTCCCACACTGCATGTTTCATGATAAGCTCACTTGCCTACACTGTATATTTCATGATGAGATCACTTGCCTACACTGTATGTTTCATGATAAGCTCACTTGCCTTACGCTGTATATTTCATGATTAGATTACTTGCCAACACTGTATGTTTTATGATAAGCTAACTTGCCCACACTGCATGTTTCATGATAAGCTCACTTGCCTACACTGTATATTTCATGATGAGATCACTTGCCTACACTGTATGTTTCATGATAAGCTACCATAATTTCATGATTAGCTACCTACACTGTGTTTCATGGCATTATAAGCTGACTTTCCTACACAGTGTTATATGGCATCAAAAGCTCACTTGCCTGCACTCTATGTCTCATAAGACCATTTATCTACACTGTGTGTTTCATGATGCACATTTGGCTTTTGTTGAGTAAAATCTAATTGGTACACGTTAAATTGGTTAATGGTGAAATGACAGACTTATATCGAAAAGGAGACACTACTTAATTCATCCCTCAACCAAAGACACAAATAACTTATAAGATGAGATTGATTGGAAATTGAGATGTCAAGTAATTGTATGTTTCCAGAAAAATTCTAATTTCATTTGGTCGACTCAAACTAATGCTCAAAATGCTATTAAGAAGTGACTGATTGGCTTTAACTGCAATCCCTTGGTATCTTGTCCATAACACTTTTGACAAAACATGATTTTGATTTGTGTATTGCATCACTTTGCTCTGTACACATCCAAATGCTTTCAAATTGGAAATTTTCATCTAATGAGTGCTAAGACTCTGATTGACTGTTTTATTCTGCACATATAAGTACATTCAAATCAATTAAATGCAAGACATTTTTAAAGAAAGGTTATAAAAAATACATTAAGTATCTTGAGTTATATACAGTTTATTTAATAAAAACATAATACAAAAGTCTTGGTTATATCTAACACAATCACAAATATGTATAAAACATACATATTTAAAGGAATCATGATTCTAGGCAGATGAAAATGGAATGGCATTATATCTTTTCATCAGTAAAATACAAAAAATGAAAATTGCCTATTAGTTTCCACTTATTCTCCTCTCATTAATCAATTAAAACTCATCAAGAAAGCCACAACTTCCTGTGTAGATTACTAGATAGAATGTTTTTCCATAATTTGTTCATGAATTTCTCGTTTCATTCATGGATCAGAACACGTGTATCATATCAAAGAATGAGATCCTGAGTGATTTCTATTGTAAACTATATTACTGATACAACTCCTTAACAAAATCAAGATGCTTGCGAAAACAACAAATTACTATAATATTTATAGTATTTCCAGATCATTATGTCACTTACCTTAATGGGAACTAATGGAATGCATAGAAATATCACATTTGAGTTAATGAATGTTTCACATTTTGCTATTCCTCAACCCCCTACCTGATGCATCATAATTTGGGTGAATATTCATTTTTCATAATTTGATATACCTCGACCACCCGATGCATCATAATTTGGGTGAATATTCATGTTTCATATTTTGCTATTCCTCGACTACCTGATGCATCATAATTTGGGTGAATATTCATGTTTCACATATAGCTATTCATCGACCACCAGATGTATCATAATTCGGGTGAATATTCATGTTTCACATTTTGCTATTCCTCGATCACCCGATACATCATAAATTGGGTGAATATTCATGTTTCACATTTTGCTATTCCTCGTCCACCTGATGCATCATAATTTGGGAGAATATTCATTTTCACATTATGCTACTCCTCGATAACCTGATGCATCATAAATTGGGTGAATATTCATGTCTCACATTTTGCTATTCCTCGTCCACCTGATGCATCATAATTTGGGTGAATATTCATGTTTCACATTATGCTATTTCTCGACCACCTGATGCATCATAATTTGGGTGAATATTTATGTTTTACATTATGCTATTTCTCGACCACCTGATGCATCATAATGTGGGTGAATATTCATGTTTCACATTTTGCTATTCCTCGGCCACATGATGCATTTGGGTGAATATTCATGTTTCACATATTGCTATTCCTCTACCACCAGATGCGTCATCCTGAAGATGTATGGTGTCCCATGTATTTTCATTCAACTGTGAAGATAGCTGAGCTAAACATCCACGCAAGCCATGCTCATAAATTCCTCCTGTTGCCAAGGTTAAATCAGGTAGACTTCCTAAAATTGGCATATAAGATATCTAAAAATGTTGTTTATGAGATACAAATCGAGTTTATAATTAGATGGTATCTAAATGGGATCTTAACTAAGCCATAATAATCAGAAAATAATAACAAAAAATATCAGAAAAGTATAAAACTTATGTCATACTAAACTTGTTTATCTAACGCAATAATCATGGAAGACAATAAAACATAATATCTATGCAATCATTTACTACTTCTAAAATTGGCAAAACATACGACCAACCATGAATTATTTCAAAAAAACAAACCTATGAAAAAATCAGACATTGAGGTATCTAGTCGGGCCCCCTGAGATTCCAATAATGTCAGATTGTATGAAGAACTTAAACCTTGACTGTCTGTCAACTCAGCATATAAGGCTCCACCATTCCTGAAAAATAAAAAAAAATGATGTAAACTCAATTTGTCAAATGGTCTAAACTTCATTTGTCTTGGTCAATATGACTTAAACTCAAACTCAACCCGAATCCCAATGGTCTAAACTCCATTTTTCCAAATTCCAATGGTCTAAACTCAATTTTTCCAAATTGCAATGGTCTAAACTATTCTGTCTGATTCCCAATAGTCTGAACTCAATTTATCCCAATCTCAATGGTCTAAACTCCATTTTTCCAAATCCCAATGATCTAAACTCAATTTTACCAAATAACAATGGTCTAAACTCAATTTGTCTGAATCCCAATCGTCTTAACTCCATATGTTTAAATCCAAATGATCTTTACTCAATGTGTCTGAATCCAAATGGTTTAAAATATATTTGTCTGAATCCCAATGGTTTAAAATACATTTGTCTGAATTCTAAAGGTTTAAAATATATTTGTCTGAATACCAATGGTTTAATATTATACGTCTGAATTCCAATGGTTTAAAATATATTTGTCTGAATCCCAATGGTTTAAAATCTAATTGTCTATATACCAATGATCTAAAATCTATTTGTCTGAATCCCAATGGTCTAAACTCAATTTTTCTGAATAGCGAGGGTCTAAACTCCATTTATCCAGATCCGAATGGTCTATACTCCCACGCCCAGTGATCGTCCAAAAATGATGGAGGGGGGATTAGGCGATTTCTGCAAGAAAACTCAACAAATTTGGAAGATTTATTTTTTCAAGAGAAAATTTACAACTGAATTGCCAAATGAATAGGCGCAGTGCATGGCAAAAAATGTTAGGTCATCTAGTTTTTTTTTTGAACTGGTACCCTTCTAAGATATGAGATCTATTAAAAAAGGCGCATCATCACCAACGTGCAAAAGTCAATGTTTTTGCTATAAATCGGGCAACAATGGTCTACACGATCTGTAATAAATAGGTATAAGGGACGTTATTATCACAATACTTATGACATTGCTCACTTTTTAAAGTTAGTTTCCATGCGTCATACAAAAAATAATCGAAATAAATTAATTTTGGATGGAGGGGGGATCGGATGGAGGGGGGATTTTTATATCTTTACGATGGAACAAATTCACAAGAACTCGTGCATTTAAAAAACTAAACTCAGTACCCCAGTAAGAAACTGGATATTATATCTCCGGAGAATGAAAAATTGGAAAATTTGGGGTCATAAGGATAAATTCAAGTAGCATGTCTTATCATGTCTTGTATACACGTGATCCCCCCCCTCCATCCGATCCCCCCCTCCATCCCAAATTAATTTATTTCGATTATTTTTTGTATAACGCATGGAAACTAATTTTAAAAAGTGAGCAATGTCATTGGTATTGTGATAATAACGTCCTTTATACCTATTTATTACAGGTTGTGTAGACCATTGTTGTCCGATTTATACCAAAAACATTGATTTTTGCACATTGATGATGATGCGCCTTTTTTAATAGATCTCAAATCTTAGAAGGGTATCAGTTCAAACAAAATACTAGATTACCTAACATATTTTGCCATGCACTGCGCCTATTCATCTGGCAATTCAGTTGTAAATTTTCTCTTGAAAAAATAAATCTTCCAAATTTGTTGAGTTTTCTTGCAGAAATTGCCTAATCCCCCCTCCATCATTTTTGGACGATCACCGGGCGTGACTCCATTAGTCCGAATCCTAATGGTCTAAACTCCATTTACCCAAATGACACTGGTTTAATTTCCATTTGTCAGAATCACAATAATCTAAACTCCATTTAATTATCCAAATTCCAAATGGTTTAAACTCCATTTGTCTGAATCCAATGGAGTTAACTCCATTTGTGTGAATCCCCACAGTCTCAACCTTATTTGTCATTTGAACAATGGTCAAAACTCCATTTGTCTGAATCCCAATGGTCTAAAATATATTTCCATGAATCCAGATGGTCTATCATATGTTCGAATTCCAATGGTCTAAACTCCATTTGTCTGAATTCCAACGGTCTAAACTATATTTAACTGAATCCAGATGGTCTATCATATGTTTGAATCCCAATTGTCTAAATTCCATTTGTCTGAATCCCAATGGTATAAACTATATTTGTCTGAATCCACATGGTCTAAACTCCATTTGTCTGAATCCCAATGGTCCATACTCCATTTGTCTGAATCCCAATGGTCCATACTCCATTTGTCTAAATCCCAATAGTCTATTAACCACCTTTTGACATTTTATTACATACCTATACAACTTTAGATGCTCAGCTTAGTAAAATTGGACGGCAGAGATCATTTCTACACGTTTTAAAACAATTTTTGTGTAAATTGGATGAAAATTGTTCAAATGAGAGCAATTTTTGTGACAAATTTTGTGACGGATTTTCTCGTCCCTCTGGGCACCAGTCTTATTTCATTTGTGACGGATATATCCGTCACTCTGGGTATTCAAGAGGTTAAACTATATTTATCTGAATCCCAATGGTCTAAACTCCATATTTCTGAATCGCAATGGTCTCATTTCCATTTGTCTGAATCCCAATAGTCTAAATTCCATTTGTCTAAATCGCAATGGTCTTAACTCCATTTGTCTGAATCCCAATGGTCTAAACTCCATTTGTCTGAATCCGAATAGCCTAAACTCCATTTGTCTAAATCGCAATGGTCTAAACTCCATTTCGAACTCCTATGCAGTGTCTCGGTATAGATACTGCGGCGGGCAGATTATGGAATCCCCAAAATTTGGGGAAGATAGTCCCCCTTTTTGTCACAGATGTACTTGTTTTTCACACAACTTATAAAATATATGTTCTTTTATGTTCACCAATAATTATTTTGTCAAAATTTTCCAAAATCAATGAAATATAAGAGGAAATCCCCGCGGAAGGAATTCTGAGTAAAAGTTGTGTTGATAAAAGTTTACCGCACGTGTTGTTTATTAGTTAATACGCGCAATTCAACCAATGAAATTGTCTAAATTTTACAATCACGCGACATGAGCATGGGACTAGAACCAATCACGTCAGTTGTTTATTACGATGTTACCATGCTTACGGTGAGATACCTGCCCGCCGCAGTGATATATCACTGCACGGGAGTTCGAACTCCGTTTGTCTAAATCGCAATGGTCTAAACTCCATTTGTCTAAATCACAAGGATCTAAACTCCATTTGTCTGAATCCCAATAGTCTAATAACTCCATTTGCCTTAATCCCAATGGTCTAAACTCCTTTTGTCGGAATCCCAATGGTCTTAACTCCATTTGTCTGAATCCCAATGGTCTAAACTCCATTTGTCTGAATCCAAATGGTCCAAACTCCATTTGTCTGAATCCCAATGGTCCATACTCCATTTGTCTGAATCTGAATGGTCCATACTCCATTTGTCTAAATCCCAATAGTCTATTAAACTATATTTATCTGAATTCCAATGGTCTAAACTCCATTTGTCTAAATTGCAATGGTCTAAACTCCATTTGTCTAAATTTTTTTTTCATGTTATCAATTTATTACTAATATAAACATTTACATTCAATTACAATAATTACTAATTGCCAAGGTTTTTCAACATTAGCGGCAATTTAATCCAGGCTGATATCGAAAGATTTGTCCGCTGTGACGGAGCATGCTATTTTTCATAAAAACACTAAGAATGCTTCACGATTTATTTTTTAACCCATATGTTTCGTTATATCAAAGATAATTACTTACTCCATGCAATGGATATATCATTTGGGTGTAACATTCACTTGTGTTTGAAGTCCAATAACGCTAGGAGTAAAATCTATTGAAAACGGCGCCAAAGTATCAAACTCTAAAATGTACCATTTCTTTTTTACCTTTTTAATGGCATGATATAGTGACACGATAATATTAACATATGTTTTCAGCATAACTCTGAATGTATTAATGATATATTAATGCATTTGGTCATTTTAATTTTTTTCATAGAAAATAATATTAATATTTTTTGTCCGCTGTGACGGAGCATTTTCACAGTTCACATTTGCAACTGCTCCGTCACAGCGGACAAAAAAATTAAACATTATTTTTATAAAAGAATTAAAAAGACCAAATACATCAATATCTCATTTATACCTTCATAGTTATGCTGAAACCATGTGTAAATATTATCGTGTCACTATATCGTGCCATTAGAAAGTTAAACAAGAAATGGTACATTTTGAAGTATGATACTCCGGCGCCAATTTCAATAGCTTTTCTTCCCAGCGTAATTGGATTTCAAACAGAAGTGAAAGTGACCCGCAATTGATATATCCATTGCATGGAGTAAGTAATTTTGTATGGTATAACGAAAGATATGAGTTAAAAAATAAATCGTGAAGTATTCTTAGTGTTTTTTTTTGAAAAATAGCATGCTCCGTCACAGCGGACAAATCTTTCGATATCAGCCTGTGATATATATATATGTATGTAGATATTAGATATTGAAATAGGAAAAATTTGTTAAGGTTATTTCAAAATACCTGAAGGTTATCCCATGGGCCGGGATGTTAACGGAACTTGAAAAATAAGTCAGTCATTGCAGAAAAAAGGACTTGTCAAATTACTACTAGATAGATAATAAAACAAGACTTGTATGTATATACCAGCTAACAATATGAATTAAAGCTTCATTCATAGTATCATCCAGGTTAGTGTTTCCAAACAGTAAAAATTGTAATTTGTCGTTTAGAGTTGTAATTATTGAACAAGTCACTTAAATTGTAAGTACGAAGGCCTGCAATGAGGTTGTTTCTTTCATTCTGTAGCAGTGGGCATTTTAAAAGAAAATGCATGGTTGTCATTGGTACACCACAATGGCACAAAGGATCAGTAATGTCTTTGAAGTTGTGAGCATAAAGGTGTGATTTTAATAAGAGGCCAGATCTTAGTCCATTAAGTTTTATTTCGAGATGTCTGGGTAAGCTCACATTCAATTTAGTAGTTGGGATTAAAGAGACCAGCTCTTGTACTCTCGCACTAATCTTTTAAAACTAGAAATCGGTTGA